TGTACCTGCACATCGAACGCATCAGCTAGTTTCTGTTGAATGGAGAGGGTATCGAACATATAAGATTGGTAGAACTTTGTCCACCATTCCAGAAAACCCTTTGTTGTGAAGTGTGTGGGTTCAAAGGGTAGTAGTTCAAATTGAGCGAAGCCTTGATATTGTTCCTGTTGCAGTTTGGCTTCTCTTGCTTTAAAGGTTCGACCAGAAGTGATGGCACCTCTGTTTGGAACAGAGGTTCAGGGATTAGTTGGCACAGGCCAAATTGTCTAGAAACAAAGTTAGGTTGATAGGCAAAGAGGAAGATTTGATTCTTGGAAGGAGTGATTCGTGAGGAAATTAATCTAGGAAGCAAAAAGGCTTTCCAAATATCTTGAATTTCTTTGCTTTTAACTGCTTCTAAGAGAGCCATGGTGAACCATGATGGTCCATGAGTCCTTGAAGCAAAGGGTGCCATGGTCTCTTCAAATTTGTGTCTTTTGGAAAAAATCATGATGTATTTTGAGAAAAGGACTTTGAAGTCATCTTTGTCATCATTCGGGGTCAGTTTTCGTAGCCTGGTACCTTCAATAATTCTATCTGTTACCTCCGGATCTTATTCAACAACGGTGTCAGCAGTTGATAGTGAGGGTTCAAACATGGCATTAAGCCATAATTGGAGTAACCAGAAGGGGCCAGCTAGAAGGATGTTTTTGGGAGTATGGGATTTCAAACTCGAAACGGCTGATCTTAAGCTTTCGTAAAGATCAACAAGTAACAGTTCGCTCAAACACACCCTCCTATTCTCATGTAAGTCTCTAGCTAGAGGAATGAACCTGCTTGCTACCTGTAAGGACCTGCTGCAGAATACGTATCTCGATAACCATAAAGTGAGGAAAGCAATATGTTCCACATCTGACACACTATCTCCTTCAGTGTGGTAATGGCTAATGAATTTGGAAAAGCTGGCTAATTTGACTTCGAAGTCAATAATGCTGGAGTGTTCTTCATTGTCAGGGATATAGGTTTCTCCTACTGGTGACAAACCAGTGATGGCTGCTATATCGAAAAATGTGGGTGTTATCATTCCCCCAGGGAGATGGAAGGTGTTGTAGGTACTGTCCCAGAAGTATAAGGATGCAAATAATAATGGGTGACTATAGGTGAAGCCTGGTTTCGATAACTTAATCAAATTATAGATTCCTAATTCCTCCCATTGCTGGGGTTTCTTGGCTTCTACTTTGGTAAACCAGTTTTGGTAAGCTATGTCAGAGGTAGGGCAGGATCAGAATGGTTTAAAGTTTCTCTTCACGTAGTCTAACACAAAGGGATCTTTTGGGGGAACGATTGGAGTTTCCATGGTTGTCGAATCAGAAGACTCGCCTATCTTAGGGATATCCATCTTATTAAACAAGGGCTTAAAGTTATAACAAACAGGGAAGATTTTTCTAGTATCTTTTAAGATTTCAAAGACTGTAAGAGGACCCATTAGAGCAAACCTCTTTCCAGCAGCGTTAGTTGGAATTAGTACCTGAGAGGCGTAGAGCATTTCCTTTTCTTTGGAGATCATTTGGGGGATAAGCACAGATTGACCTTGATAAGTACCAACCTTGCTTTCCATTATTGTTCCTGTGTTCTTGCCTTTCTTTTTGGAAGTTTTCTTCAGTTGGGATGATGTTGTAGAAGACATTGTTGAAGATTGTTGGAAGTTTTAGGGTTTCGGTGAGAAGAGAGGAAGAAAAGTTTCAGAATGTGGAAAAGAATAAAAGACTAAGTTGATTGGTTTTTATAGTGTGGAAGTTTAAACATCCACTAAGTGAGACTAGGATACGTGGGAGTCGTGGGTTGGATTGAGAAGGAGGTGGCGTAAAGGCTGATATTGGTAATAAGCGTGGTTAATAATAATCATTGTTTTATAACTACGCCATGCTGTGAAATACTGATTTAAGACGGTTAAGAAATCCAAGAGGCGTCGTGATTGACGTGAGTGGGTCATACGCAATAAATGTTATGATTACTCAAAGGTCACATCAAAATCTTGCAAATATATTTAAAATAAGTGTTTCTCAAGGGATCGAAATACATATTTTAAAGGGGCATTTTGTTGGCTGAAGATTTTGATGATACAGTTCGAAACGAAGCAAGTTGGATGTTTTGTTGGAATAAAGCAAGATGTTACGGTTCGGAATGGTAGAAGCAGTTCTTCGAACGAACGTGTCAAAGCTCGGAGCTTCGAGTGACAGTTGTGAAGATATATTTAAAAGAAGCCTCGAAGTGGTAACGAGACTGTGTCTAAGAAATGAGTTCGAAGCGAAGAGTGCCAAAACATTTGAAATTCAAACGCAAGCGGGATGTTCGAAATTTAAATATATATGCGCTGGAGCGTTCGAAGACGCGTGGAAGCTAGAGAGGAGCAGTGCTCTGCATGTTCTGAACGTGGCAGAATCTTATAGGCAAGACCGTTATGGTCGAAGTAGTATAAATAGAAGTCTTAGTACTAGGATTTCGTGTGTCATATCTATTGTACAAAATTCAGTAAACATTCAAAATACCACATGGCTAGGGAAACGAATGCTCGAACAATGTACGTATGATAACACCAAACATTTATGATTCAGTAAAAATCTTTATCCTTTCCAGTTTATCTTTTATCTTCATGTCAATATTATTCAAAAGTCTTTTCATTAAAACCTTTTCATTCAAAGTCATTTACTGATTTCTTGCATTTAAACGCTTTTCTTCCATTTCGAATCCTTTACATTCCAGAAACTCTTTGACATTTCATGCTTTTATACTCATGTTCTTTACATTAAAGTCTTTATATTCAAAGTTATTTACTTATTTCTTGCATTTTAACATTTCTTTGCAATCGAATCTTTACTCATGCAATTCAGTTTCGTATGTCTTTACTTGATCATGTCATTAGATCCTTTTAATATAGTAATCGAAGTGAGTTGAACGTCTATAAAACATTTCAAATACAAATCCTAACTATGAATATCAGTCTTACAATTAGAATTATCCAAACGACCAATACCCCATAGGATCAATCTAGTCGATCCTGCAAGTTACCAGAGAGATTAAATAACAGTCATTAAGATTATTTGATAGTCTGGAGGACTAGCGGTTGTTTACCAGAAATCACTGTAAACAACAGGCTGCATAAAGCCCTGTATAGATTGAAACAAGCTCCAAGAGCTTGGAATAAGAAAATTGATAGTTTCCTAAGGAAGAAGAAATTTGTAAAGTGCACAACTGAACATGAAGTATATGTAAGAAGAAGAAATAGTGAATTGCTTATACTATGTCTCTATGTCGATGATTTGTTGATAACAGGTAGCTGGAAAAGTGAGATCGAAAACTTCAAAGGTGATCTCAGCAAGGAATTCGAAATGTCTGATCTGGGTGAAATTCTATATCTCCTTGGCATAGAATTCTACAAGAGCAGTAGAGGTTTTATGATGCATCAAAGAAGATATGCATGAGAAATTCTCAAGAGATTTGAGATGGAAGAATGCAACTCAACTTCGACACCTGCAGAACCAAGACTATAACTGTCGAAAGATGCAGATGAAGATGATGTCGACCCAACCCAATACAGAAGACTTATTGGGTCATTGAGATACCTTTGTCATAAAAGGCCTGACTTAGCATATAGTGTAGGTATGGTAAGTAGATTCATGCAGAAGTCAAAGGTATCACATCTAGCAGCGGTGAAGAGGATACTAAGGTATCTCAAAGGAACTCTCGACTATGGCATTTTGTTTCCTGCAGCTGATAAAGGAAAAGAATGCAAGTTAGTTGGATACACTGATTCGAGTTGGTGTAGTGATACTAAAGATCGAAAATCAACAGCAGGATATGTGTTTATGTTAGGTGGTGCATCAGTTGCTTGGAGTTCTAGAAAGGAATCAGTAGTGGTATTATCATCATGTGAAGCAAAATACATAGCTCATTCTCTTTGTGCATGTCAAGCAACTTGGATAGTGAATTTGGTCGAAGAGATGATAGGGAAAGATCATAGAGCAATTACCATGAAGATCGACAGCATGTCAGCTATCAATCTGGCGAAGAACCCGATAGCACATGGTCGAAGCAAGCACATCGAAATGAGGTTCCACTATCTTGGAACACTGCAGAACTGAGAATCAGATTGCAGACATCATGACGAAGAGAGTGCAAGTCGAAGTATTCAGAATACTAAGAACCACGAGGAATATAGATAGTTTAGACACAATGAATTAGGTGGTGTGTTAAATTGTAATTCGATTGTGTCGAAACAATGTGTGTGTCGAATGGAGGTTACCCAGTCGAAGAGCTTGTGGATCGAAGCAAGCTACACACAGATTTGATTGGTTTTAAATTTAAATAGATTTGATTTAGATCTAAAATAGATAGATTTGATTTAGTATCAAAATAGATAGATTTGATTTAGTATCAAAATATGTATTTTGAGCTTTTATAGTTTTGAAATTAAATCAATTCATTGTAATCACAGAATTTCCAGTTGCAAATGATTAATAAAGTTTTCTACAGTTTGTGAACAGAGAGAAACACTGTAGAAAGTAATTGTCTTCTTTTTTTTCTTTTCTTTTTTTATAATTCATTGTCATTGTATGGTGATATCAATCTTATTTATCAAGATTGATAAAAATTCAACATAAATATTTAAAAGATTTCCAACAATCTGTGTTAAGAAAAAACACTTTTGATTCTTTTATAGTGTTATTGTGTTTGGCTTATAAAACATGCACAAGCATTCTAGAGTATAAAAGTCAAGATGGCACATAATTTTCATTTTTAAAAAGTAACTAATGAGAATTGTGAACATGGAGGATACAAATCAACCTTAACAATAAACTTTTATAAACTTATCCATGTACTCCAAAAAAGCAAGAGAAACAAGCCCGAAATACCATAATTGTAGCAAAGTATGTAATCAAACTTAACAGCAAAACAGTTCTTCAACATTATGCATAAAGAATCTGAAATTCATAAACACAAAAGAAGCAATTAAAAAATTATCAATCAGAGTCACTTTCATCATCAGAGTAAGCTTTGTTGATCTTTTTCAAAGCAGATTCAAATATGCTCTCAAGCTCCTTGAGAAAGTCCACAAAAACAAATGTTTCTCGGTCCATCTTATCCTCAATCAACATTTTTCCCTTTACCATTGCAGCATTGATCTTCATTTTATCAGTTAAGCTAAGCATGGAAGTGACATCCTTCATTACTTTCCTCATGTTATAGAGATAATCCTCCAAAACATTCATCGCTTTAACTTTCTTCATAAACTTGATGTCTTCTGCCTTGAACTTCTCAGCTTCCTCTATCATTCTCATGATTTCTTCAGTTGAGAGTCTTCCATTTTCTTTCGTTATTGTAATATCTTTCTTATTGCCACTGGATTCTTCCTCAGCTGAGACGTTTAGTATACCATCAGCGTCAATAGAAAAGCACACAGTAACAGGAAGGCCTCGAGGAGCAAGAGGAACTTTGAGTACAAATACACCAAGCAAGTTGTTCTCACTCGCAACCATTCTCTCACCCTCGTAAACATCGATAGAGACACCGGGTTGGTCATCTTCACATGTATGGTATACCTGTTTCTTCTTTACAGGAATTGTAGAATTTCTCGGAATCAATACACTCATGACATCTCCTTTGACCATTATCCCAAGTGATAACGGTATAACATCTCGTAGCACTAAGTTTGGAACAGACTTGATCCCGTCACTCAGCAAGGCAGCCTGGACAGCTGCGCCATAAGCAACCGCCTCATCAGGGTTGATGCTCAAACATAGCTCCTTTCCATTGAAAAATTCTTGCAATAGCTGCATCACTTTCGGAATCCTAGAACTACCACCAACAAGAACAACATCATCTACATTTTTCTTATCGATTTTAGCATCAGTAAGACAACTTTCAACGGTTTCCATACACTTTTCAAAGAGATTCATGTTGAGTTGCTCGAATTTAGCACGAGTGATGGATGAGCACAAGTCAATACCTTCAAATATAGCATCTATATCTATTGAGGTCTCGCTGTCAAATGAAAGTGTCCTTTTGGCTCTCTCGCAAGCGGTTCTCAATCTTCTAAGGGCCTTCGAGTTCCCACTTATGTCCTTATTATGTTTCCTCTTGAACTCCTTCACAAAGTGGTTAACCATTCTGTTATCAAAGTCCTCTCCTCCAAGATGAGTGTCTCCCGCGGTAGCCCTAACATCAAATTCATTATTCTTGATCGTAAGAAGAGACACATCAAACGTTCCGCCACCAAGATCAAAGACGAAAATATTTCTCTCTTCAACACAATTAGCTCTCTTCTGAAGGCCATATGCAAGAGCAGCAGCAGTAGGTTCATTGATGATCCGAATGACATTGAGTCCCGCAATGGCACCAGCATCTTTTGTGGCTTTTCGCTGAGAGTCGTTGAAATAAGCCGGCACAGTGATTACTGCATCTTTAACCTTTGACTCCAAAAACTTATCAGCTATCTCCTTCATCTTCATAAGAATCATCGATGAAATTTCCTCGGCAACATAGCACTTTTCTTCATTTCTGAAATTAACAACAATCACAGGGTTGTCGTCAATTCCAGAAACAACCTTAAATGGCCATAACTGCAGATCATTTTGAATAACAGAATCACTATATTTCCTTCCAATCAACCTCTTTGCATCTGCAAAATTTAAAATATTGGTGTGTTGGATTATATTTGTTATTTGTAATGTAAGCACGAACATAAAAATAAAATAAAAACCATGCATGCAGTAAAACAAAATATAAATTACCAAAGATAGTGTTGACTGGATTTGAAGCAGCCTGATTTTTGGCAGCATCACCAATCAACCTTTGAGAGTCAGTAAAAGCAACAAAAGAAGGAGTAGTTTTGTTTCCTTGTTCATTGTGAATTATCTCAGCTCGGTTGTTTTGTTCCTGCCATACAGCAACACATGAATATGTTGTACCAAGATCAATTCCAATGGCAGGTCCCTCATATTTTTTTGCCATTTTCTTTCAAGTGAATGAATGAATACTGTTTCCAAATTCACACTTTTGAAGATAAAGAGACGTGTATTATCTCTTGTTGGCTTTTATGTACATAGAATTCGAAAATTTTGTTTAATGTTCCGTGCATGTAATTATGTCTCCTTATCAGAATTCGCGACTGTTATTGTTCCTATGAATAATGTCTCATAGAATACTCCAACTTTTGTTTTCCCAAGTAATACTCCAACGGGAAGGTTGGATGAAAAAAATAAACTGTTCAGCTTCTAATAGCTATAGCTACTTAGATATTGCGTGCACATTATATTCTTCATGGAAAAGATTTTAGTGTACTCATTCGAGTAAACTTGTAACTTGTCCTTAATGTCTATCAATCCCTAAAGTTTATATTTTAATTACTATATACTACAAAAAAATGACATATTGTCCTGTCGTTTTTAGGAATTATTCCGTTGCAGAATCAGAAATGAAGAAAAATTATGAAAACTATGGTGAAGCGAAGTTTCTTGAGAGATTCAGTGATGTGGCACCTGAGATCGAAGATGGCACGCTTAATATTTCTTTAATTGGAGACATTGATCTTTAACCAACGTTATTATTCTCTAATAGGGTGGATCACAGACGGGGTTGCTTGCATGGTTAGCACTCTAACGTCCAAGTCAATTTAGGATTAAAGATAATCATAATAAGAGTGGACATCAAAGCTTGTCTGTCTTAAAAACCCTTATAAAGTTATTTATATCTTGGGATCAATGGAGCGGGCATGATAAGTTGGCCTTGTCTTATTGGGCCTTTGACCGACACAAAATAGGTGTCTCTAAGACTCGCTGGACACTCTCGATGTCGGGGGAGTCTTTTTAGCAGTCATAGCCAGTCTTCAGAAATGGTTGTTCGTACTTTGGTGGACATGCATTGCTTTGGTATTGCCAAAGAGTAATTGGGAACATGTGCATTAAAGGCAGTTTCATAACTAAAAGGTTTCACTGTTTTTCTGTTAACGTGTGACCTGAAAAAGGTAGAGAGTAAGGTGACGTTGCTTATTGTGCATTTGATTTCCCTTGAGTCTGGTTGTGTTTCCAAGATAAAATCTGAAAGTTGAACCATACTTGCTTCTTACTTTCAATTTGATCTTCCCGATAGTCTTCGCCCATATAAGAATAGAGAAAATTTGGAGAAATTTTCCACAGCCTGTTGGATTGAGTTTCCCTTGTTTTCTATGTGACTTTACATCTTCTTTGAGAGTGTTTTCCCAGGAGTAATTGTCGTCGCGCATTCAAAACTTTAAATCTTCTACTTTCAGCCTTCTCTTTTGCTTTAGTGCAATCGACTTTATATTTTAAGGTACCCTATCTTCACTTCAACTTTTCATTTAAGCACTTATTGTACCTTCTTTACGATGAGAAATAATCCTATAAACATAAAGAGTGACTCAAAGGGTAATGTTTCTCCCTCTTTGAGGAGGAGAATGGAACATGAATTGCATTCCCTTCCCTTTCTAGTGGAGATTTGGAATAAGATATGACTTCTCTAATTGAGAGTTCTGAAAAAGAAGGAATGCCTGGGATTTATTTTTTGAGAGAGCTTCGTCATGCGAATCTTCAAAAACACCCCTTTTAGGGAAAACTGGTGGGGGTGAGAATGATGTTAAGACACCAATGTCTCTTCTTGTCTTGACTGAGGCAGAAGTAGAAACTTCTCAACAAAAGAGGTAACATGCTAACAACTTCGTCCGGTTTTATGGAAAGATAAATGGCCACGAGCCTAGTGATGTTAAATTCATTGATCATTTGGAGTATTGGGGAATGTCACATGATGTATCTTGGATTAGTCTCTATGATCACTTTAAAGTCGATACATTGGCTCGAATGGGACTTCGGTTAGTTGAGTCAGACAACACTAATTGATATCATTGGGTGGTCTCCGTAGTGGTAGGGAGTCTGAATATTGTTAAGGCTACAACCAACACTGACATTATGGTTGATTCTCATGTACGAATGCATCTTCATCGGGTTGGAATATGTAATTATTTTGAGGGCTGCTCGATTCATCTGTACGAATGCATCTTCATCGGGTTGGAATATGTTTTCCCTTTTATGATTTTGAGGTGGTCGTGATGAACCGTTTGAGAGTTTACCCCCTCACAACTTCATCTTGGATCTTGGGCTTTCATGAAGGTGATCAAACTATGTGTCGAGCATAAAAATTTAAAACCTTATTTGTACATATTTTTTATCTCTTTTACATGGCTCGCGCCTTTCTAGAAGATGCTCATGATTAAGGACTGGTCTTCCTTCTCCCTTAAGTCCTTTGGTTTGATTCTTTTACCAATCACTTGAGTGACTTTCTTGAATGTTTCATGCTAGTGAAACCTATTACTCTTGGGGCTCACTTTTCCCTTTGTTCGTGCTCAGCCTCGGTGAGATGCAGCTGTTCTAGTAAAAGTGTTTTTCCAAAGTACTAGTCTGTTGCTTATTTCCTCTTACCTATTTCTTCTTACCACTATAGGCTAAGTCATTTATTCTCTTAGGGGCCTTGTTAAGTACCCTCTTCTTAGCGAAATAATAAGCGAATTGATACTTATGCAACTATCAGTGCACCTGACCATGCCGAGATGGAAAAACTCTTTGTTGAGGATGGGACCTAGGTCACTCTTTTTTTACAAGTGTAACTATATATTTTAGATAACATGGACCATTTGCATAATATTCTCGTGCTCACCAAGGATCAATGCCTTATGAATGTCTCCAGACTCCACCACTCACATCTATTATATAAGCTATATCCATAAGGGCTACGTCAACTATGCATGATTGCATGTAGTTCTTTGACAGAGGATATTTGAATGATGTAGTCAGACGTACAAAACGTCCCGACAACACCATTAGGAGAATTGATTTGTTGTATTCGTACATGCAAAGTGTCTCTGACAACTCCAATGGACTCTTTAGGCACGCTCGACGCTATAGAGAATCGATTGATGTAGTTTGACATGCAAAGGATCTTTGACAACACCTCTTAAAATTTTTGGCGCCCTTGGTGTTGTGGAGAATTGATTATTATAGTCAGACGTGAAAACGTCTCTGACAGAACCCATAAAATCTTTAATTTGGGCATCAACTGCATTGGTTGTACCCTGGTACGCTTTTACGGGAGTTCACACTTTGGATCCCTAAGGAGGGGACAAGACAGAAAGAAGAACAACAATAATATTATAGCAATACATATATGTATATAGCTTGTATTTGATGATTATACCAGTAATCGAAACAAATAAATAAATTTACAAACAAATAAATTAAATTTTGCAGTCAACCACAGGTATATACCAATCGCCCGCCCTCAGATGTGTTGTCTGGGTGGCCTGATTATCTGTTGATATGGGTAGACGAGGCCCCTGGCTTGGGAGACGGCTGACTATCTTAAATGCTTCTTCAAGCTACTCCTAAGTATCTGCGTGTTATCCACGTGGAGGCAACATTCAAACAAAAATGGTGAGTAATCATAATTCATTATAAAAGATATAAAGAAAGAGAATTGCAATCATAATCAATATCATCATTATAACAACATATAGCACTATCAAAAATCAATAACTCATACACCATACATCATAATTAACACACATGCAACTTTCATCATATAAATCAACATGTAATCACATAACTTCTCAACTTCTAACACATCAAACATCATCGATAAGATTATGCAAAGCCACATAAATTTTATGCAATGACACTGAATCAATGCATGTGGTGCCATAATATGAACTCTTAGATTAATTTCACTCCCTGATCCCCGTCATAGAATTGATTCCCTCTTGAAACGATTGGGATGAGGATAAGCTCATGATCGTAAGTAGGTCTGTGTGGTGGATTTTAAGTCTACTTAAGGGACCATCTCACGTAAGGTGAGATGCCCTGTTGTTGGCAGGCACTGCTAAGTCGCAAGAGGGCGGTTGGAATGATGTTGGTGGATTACTCTGAGTGGGGTGCTAGTGGTGTGGTGTTTGATGGTGTCTCAGTAAATATTACTTGAGAGTTATCCATTATCTCCTTGAGAGATAATGTATTTATAAGAGTTCTCTAAGATTTATAGTTTATGAACTCCTTGAACGTGATTTTTAGAGAGATTATTAATCGACTATATTTTCAAAGTTACCGAGATCTTCCTTTTATTTAGCTATAATGTTGGGTGGTCCTCATGAGCGCCTAAATTGAACTTTGTCCATACAACCCATTTACTAAGTGATAGATGCCTTATCCTAAAACACTGTCAAATAAGACACTGCATACATGAATTGTTTCAATTATTTGAGTTATGACTTGATGTTTTCATGAGATTTATAATTATGAGTGTTAAATTTTTAGGATGCGTTTGTTTTATTTTAAAATGATATTTGTAAGATAAAACTAGTCGATAACCCATGCTGTCGCACGGGGCCGGTCGAGAATTCATAAAACGTGGAACTAATGTTGTCATGTAACAGTAAATTCGTTTTTATGTAATTCAATAAAAGTTCATCTAATTCGGCCAAATTTAGTGTATCAAACTTATTTGACAACATTAAAAAATGTAAACTGAAATCATGATTGTGTAACAAAATAAGAAACTGTGATGACTCTTCAAAATAAGAAACTATCACGAGTCTTCAGATACAACGCAACCAGCTTGGAAACGATGTTTTCAACTTTTTGACCTGCACAATAAATTATGCAAAAATTAGACAGCATTTACGGAAACAATTTATATTAAAGAAAATATTTGTTATTATGTACTTACCGATCAACAAAGAGATTGGAAAACTTCTTTGTATACAACATTTGTAGTGATAGATGTTGATACATTCATACTATCATGTATTAAGATCTTTAGACCACTTTTGCTTGTAACTCTTGAAATGGCTACATACAACTGGCCATGACTGAATACAGGAGTAGGCAAATACAATCCAACTGTATCAAGTGATTGGCCTTGAGACTTATTAATTGTCATTGCGTACGACA